TTCCGTCCGGTTGCTTCTCGGATAGTCTAAAAGGGAACAAACATTCCAGGCTGCCAGAGTGAGCGGACTCACCCTACCAGTCTGGCGAGTGGGACGGTGGAAAGAGGGAGAAGGAGAAGAAAAAGGATAAAAAGAATAAGAAGAAAAAGCAGGAAGAGGGAGAGAGAGAGTGTTGCTGATGTTTATTTGTTGGTTCTTTCGACCGTGAGTTTAACGTCTGCGATCACGGTCAGTCGGCACACGACGTGGTTTCCCAGCATTTGTTTAGGGCCCCTTTTATAGCTCCCTCCACCTCGCAGGGATGGGCATTGCCACCCCAGGCAGGGCTGCTTGGCTATCCGAGACGGCTGCCGAACTCCACTATGGGCCACGGCTTTGGTGTAGTGGAAGAATAACCCAAGTTAGCCTGGAGAGCGTACGACGTCAACGTAAGCCTGTGGCCTCCTGCGGTGTACCAGACGGAGGCTCGTCTCCACGATGTCGATGCGAAGTTCCATCCGACCAGCCGACCAGTGGAGTCCATAATACCATGTGCGCAGATGCACACACGGATACCCTCACCTGGTCTAGCCCGCCGGTGGAAGCAATTACGGGGGTGTGACCGCCTGGCTTTGGGGAACAACCTTCAAGAGTTGGGTGCCAGCAAATGGACGCCAGGCGTAGTCTACACATGCAAGCAAGTCAGCGACCTATTACGACTGCCACGTGAACCCACCGCTGCACACTCCTACACGCCGGTCTACTCTTCATACCATATAGAAATGCATGAATTTCTGCAAACGGAAGATATGCAGTTTGTGGCTTGGAAACACCGAGTACTAGTGCAACGGCAGGTCCGGTTCACCATTATTTGGGAATTGGAAGAGTTTTTCACAACCGAATTATATTCTTCCTTCAAGTATAAAATTTGAAAAGGACGTAATTTTCTACTAAGTGATTAAAATAATGATATTTTATGTATGTTTTCTATGAAAAATATTAAAATTTATTAGCGCATTGAAAATTAATGTGAGAAAATCTGTACCACTTGAGCATTCACTTTACGGAGTGTAGTTTTCGCGGGCGCCAGAGAGAAGTTCATTCAAAAGCCGGTATCCTGGGGGTAACTGACATATCATAGGATTATGCTGCACGGTAATTAATACTGCAACCTTACTGAAGCAATCTTTTCTCGTCGAATACGTGTTTCACAATTTTGCTTAGCACTAAGTGAGCTAATATGTGTACTGTAAGTAGTATGATTTTTTCTCAATAATTTTCGACGTCCTTTTAAATTCAAAACGCGTTCAAAAGTTTCGGTCAACATTTCAGGAGTTCAAACATCTAGTGGAATTCCTGGGGATCAAACAACCATTGTCTTGATAAGGCGTCGATGTGTATTTCGTGGGCACTTAGAAATGTACTGGAGCAGAGAATCAAGGGGATGATTTCGCGATGAGGAACTTCAATTACCTCCGGTTTGAACTTTTTTTAATCATGTCGGATAGTTTTAAGGCGGCTCCTGCGCTATGGGCGTGCTGGTACGTGGATGCACATGTGTAAACTGGGGTACTCGTCTGGATGTTTTAGCTTGCGTCTGGATTCTGCGATATCCACCAAACTTTCTTTTCACTGATGTATGAAGTTCGGACCCTTAGTCCATCCTAGAAAAAATTGAAGCATGCAACAAGCAGAAAAAAAAGTTGAAACATCATTTCATGAGGATTTTTATGAACAGATAGGCTCATGATGTCACGTTCCATTTTTCTTACTCCCGTAGCCTTAAATTTTATATCACAGGCGCAACAAGTCCACTCATTCTGGTCAAAGTATTCTCGTCTATAGAAGTAGATTTTATTTTATCCCATTGCAAGCGCTCAACTCAATATCTTAAAGAAAGAAATCCTTTGATCTGTCGAGTCGAAACCCCAATGAATCGCAGAGTTTTTCTCTCATCAGCAACCAAATAGCCGTCCAAGAATTCTACTCATCTGCAATTAGCTTCTGAGGTGGATCCTTCATTTTCCCGTATCTGAGGCTGAACGAAATCAATCGAAATGGGTTTATCAGTCGACGCCGCGTACATTAACTTTGGAAAGGGTTCTGACAGTGTTCCACACAGACGACTTACATTCAAACTACGTCAAGTGGGTTTGAATTGCAATCTGCTGGAATGGTTAGCCGATCTTCTCACGGGCAGATCTCAGCGGGTCTGTATCGAAAACGCTATATCGGAATGGGCACGCGTCCAGAGTGGCGTTCCGCAGAGAAAAATTCTGGGTCTAATTCTGTTTTTAATATATGTAAACGACTGCCTGGACTGTCCGAACTGCTAACGCATAATGTTTGCCGATGATCTCAAATTGTGAAAATCAACAGAGAAGCCGGAAGACTCTGTACAGTTACAAGACAATCCGAAGCACTTGCAAAAATGGTGTAATGAATGGTATCTTAACCTCAACCCTGACAAATGCTAACTTATTCGATTATCGACCTAAAAAAAAGGAGGCCGTTGAGATTTGAATCTCACTACTCTATAGGAGGTCATTAACTCGAATCCATCAATGAGTTGAGAGACATCGGTGTGTGGATAACGTCAGCTCTCGAACCATCGTTCCGCTGCGCCAAGGTATCAAAGAAGGCCATGGTTCCTGCCCGCAAGTCCTGCCCGCATTTTTCTGTTTCTATCTTTTTTGAGGTTTTTTTTCTCCTGTAAAATTAATCCAATCATTTTTACATTTTGATGTGGAGTTTTTTTTTCACCTCTCGCTTATCAGTTTTCTTAACGGACTTCTTATGCAAAAACTACGTATTGCACTTTGTACAGATTTTGCCTACCTCGTCTAAAATTCGCATGTGAATTTATTTTTACTTGCTTTGATGGGACCCCGACGGGTCATTAATAAAAATAATAATAATAATAATTATGAGTATCATAGGCACGATTAGAAGATCCTTCCTCAATTTTGGCGAAGAACTTCTCGGCCGAGTATTTGGAACATTTGTTCGGCCAAAGTTGGAATATTGCGTTCAGGCTTGGTGTCCCTGGACGAAGCAAGATCGAACTCTATTGGAGAACGTACAGAGAAGAGTGACCAAAGTGGTTGGTGGATCAAGTTGCTTCCCTTGTGAGGGACGCCTGGAAAAGCTAAAAATATTTCCACTCTCCTATAGAAAATACAGAGGGATATGATAATGGCCTTCAGGATCGTCCGAGGACTAGATTGGGCTTTTCACTTTGGCGATTTCTTTGAACTGGCGCGAACGACCAACCTTCGTGGCCACCAATACAAATTAAAGATAAAATATGCCAAACTTGAAGTGCGGGCCAAATTGTTCATGCACCGGTTGGTGGAAGAATGGAACAAATTGCCGAACTCCGTTGTCTTGGAGGAAGACGTGGAGACCTTCAAAAAACTTGATAAATTTATGCCTGACCGTCAAATATTTACTTGACATCAATGCCTGACATAACTTTTACGTAAATACGTGCATACTTTTCATCCGCCTACCTGTAAATAGGATTTTTCAAGGCTCCGCCTATATCCCTTACTGAATTATACTAAAACAAATACTAGGGAATTTTCAGGGTAAGTTTTAGTTAACTACATGGTCTAGCTGTTTGGGTAGTCACGTTTCGCTCTCCAGATGCAGGTTGCTTTCATGTAGAATAGAATAGAATAGGTTTATTGTAGCGCCCCTTGGGCACTGTCAGTCCCCTTTGAACTCAGGAAAAAAACCTAAAACAAACTCGTCAATTTCAACTGCACTTTGACTTCATTTGCTTCGGGTGTCTGGTTAGCCAAAA